AAGGGATATGTACGGAATTTAGGCAAAAAGTAATAAGGATATTTGAGGATATCCGCCCATATATCTGCTCCGTGTAGCAGTACAGAATGGACTTCCTCAAGCAAAACTCGCCGTTTTCGGGTTTGTGGTCTCATGCAGTTAGCCATAATCCTTAACAAGTTGGATACCGCCTTGCTAGCTTTCATGCATTACTCTCATCTATCATTACTCCCAGGCAATTCAAGGCCCTTATCGACGTCAAAGTTGTCTCTCCTAAGTCTACAGTGAATGGTTTTGGAAACCATTTTTGTCGGGTCAATACAACCATCTCCGTTTTCGGTTTGGCAAATTTTAGGTGGTGTTTCTCAAGCCAGGTCTCTATGGTGTCGACGGTCTTTCGAACGTAGTTCAGCCTCCTCAGTGCTGTTCATTACGATTGTTCTTTTTCTCATCTAGGTAGTCGTCTATTAGTCTTATATTCTCTGGTTTCAAAATTATACTTTAGGGCTTTTATAATATCCTCCCAATTCGCACTGTTAAAGGCGTTTTTAACGTCGAATGTAAGGAGGAGACACACTTTACGAGCCTCTAAGGCTACCACGCCATGCTTCTCTTGCTGTTTCCGTTACCTTCCGAATCGCGCCGATCGTCGATCGTCCTTTTTGAAATCCATGTTGGTTGTTGGAAAAACCTCCGGCGCATTCTATGTCGTTTTGCAGTCTGCATTGAATGAGTTTCTTAAGCAGTTTTCCGGCAATGTCTAACATGCAGAGTGGTCTAAACGACGATGGTGTTACAGAGGTTTCCTTAGCTTTGTCTATTAGGACCAATCTTTGCCGCTACCATATAGTAGGAAAGGTTCTGGTTGCCAGACAAGCATTGTAGGCGTTCAGAAGAATCTCTGGAAATTCAGGGCTACAGTCTTGATCACTGAGGCTGGGATGCCATCAAAGCCTGGTGCTTTTTCTGTCTTTATGGTTTTCGCCGCAAATTATAGTTCCTTGATAGTGAAGGGTGTAGTTCCACTGTTTTCCACGTATTGTCTCTTTTTCCTTGGCGGGTGTTTGGGGAATAATTCCGCTACGATGCAATTCATCAGAGCAGGAGATTTCGGTGCTTCTGGTAAAGCTCTACCAAGTCGTTTTGCAACAGTTTGGTAGGCTTTGCCGCAGAGATCTTTGTCAAGATCATTGCAAATCTCCTACCACAATCTGGCTTTAGCTGATTTTATGGCTTTATTCAGGGTCTTTTTTGCCTGTTTGTACTCTAATGTATACATATCTTGGTGCGGGGAAAGTTTTGCAGCTCTTGCGGCGCGGCGACGTAATGCGTGGCATCTTTTCCGTAGTTCTGCTATCTCTGATGACCACCAATATGCTGGACTGTGTACACCCTGGTTTTTTGGTCGTGGCATAGAGGCGTTACATGAGGTGACAATAGCGTTCATAGTTTTAAGAACCGTTTCTTGCGTCTCTCTGCGGGTACTTAGTTTTTGATCAGCTTGAAGAGTAGATGCGTTTTGCTCGAGGGCTGCTCGCAACGCTTCTTGGTCAAGCTTCTTGGCATTCCACCTTTGTTTGCAAAAGTTGCTTGGTCGAGTCGCACCGGATCCAATACTAAATGTCACATGTTGATGATCACTGCCACTATACATGATAGTCTCCTATCATGTTCGCTGTCCTTGGGGTGGCAAACGTAATGTCGAGAATAGATTCCTGATATCCTGGTCTTCTAAAAGTTGTAATATTTCCAGTATTTAGCACAGCAAGGTCCAATTTTGCAGCAAAGTCTGCCACGTCGTTTCCTCTTCCTCGGCGCCCCATTCAGCCGATTTCGCGTTGAAATCACCAGCGACAATGACTTCTCTGTCGAATTTGCCGAGAGTGTCTTCTATGCTTGCTATTTTCTGTCGAATTACGCTAATTCCTTCATTTGGTGAAAGGTAAACGCTCACATAGTAGGTCGTGGGAGTCTTGATCCAGATGAAACCCTCTCCGCTTCCGTTGTCATTGACGGTGATCTCCTTCGAGTTTATGATCCATATTGCTGCTGTGACAGATTCATCGGCGAACCATGATTTATCCTGAATATTCATATATTGTTTACAGAGGAGGCAGATATCGATCTTATCTTCAAAGATACGTTGGCGTAGTAGATTCTGCGCCAAGGCACATCTATTCAGGTTACCTTGTAAAAATTGCGTCATTTCTGCTCTCTCGTGACTACGGCAAGTGCCACACGGAATGCCTTACAGGTCTCGGATCCAGCGACATTGCTCCTGCTGTTCTGGTCTTCTTTGTCTACAGTACATAGAAAGCATTTTGGCTTTTTCGTGCAGTCTGCAGACTTGTGATTTTTCCCACCGCATTTGTAGCAACACTTGCTTCTGTCTGGTCCTCCGCATTTATGCGTTTGGTGTCCAAAACCGAGGCATTTAAAGCAGCGGGCCACTTTAACAACTGGGCGAATGCGACTGTTAACGCCGCTCGTTGTCCTCTTGATGTGACTTTTGTCAAATTCACTCGTCGTATTTCCAGTTTTGTCGTAAAGTCCCTATTGAGTGCTTTGCGAACGTGGTTTTCGATAGAGACACGATCAAGGTCAAGAATCTTTATCGTCGTCAACGGCGTCAGTGTTTTCATTGTTTCTATGTTTTCAGTTGCTGCCCTTATCGCGGCTGCAAAGGCTGCACTGTCTTCGGACTTGGGACTTATTTCCAGTAATACACCTCCATATCTTGTCTGTTTGATGGACTTTATGTCCACGCCAGTCTCTGTTGGGTTTACTTTTTCCTTGATTTCCTTGATGTCGGCCTTAGTTCTATGTTTCCTCCGAGTTGTTTTATGATGGTTGTTTCTGGGCTTAGCACTATGATTTGTTTCGATTATTTCGGTTTCCGGTTTCTCGGTTTCCTTCAAGGTTACTTTCAGATCCCGTGCCCCTTTCTCCTTCGAACTTCGTCGAGCCACTTTTGTCCAGTTATTTTCTACAGCCGATTTTTTGGGCGGATATGTTTCCGCGTCAGAGGTGGGGCTAAGTGAAGATAGCAACCTTTTGTTTGTGTTTTTCTCCTGGGTCTTAGGGGTTGGTGTCTGAGTTACACCCGGTTGAATAATTGTCTCGGGAGATGTCTGGTATCTCTGAAGAGGTATGTAATTGTGATGCAACCCTTAGTTCAATTTTTACACAAATTAAATCTAAGTTCAATTTTGACCGCCTCAGGAATTTGGTATATCAGATTAATTGCTCTAATTGCGAACTCTTTTATATTGGAGAAACTAGCCAAAATCTGAGTAAACGCCTTCATCAACACAAAAATAACTCAAAAAACCCTAAGCAATTTAAAACGATGTTAACTGAGCACATTAAAAATTTAAATCATAATATCGATTTTGTTAACCCTAAAATTTTACATTTTGAAGAGAATACAATTGAAAGAAGATTCGCTGAGGGGTTGTTTTTGCAATTACATAACGACAGGGTCATTAACAAACGCTTCGACAATACGGCCCTGAACAAAACGAACACGTGGTTTCTTAATAGCGTGTCAAAATTTCTTGAAAAATAACAAAATCCCATCGCTTTTTAAATTTCCCAAAAAATATCAACACATGCTAAAAACTGCTTTGAGAAAAATGTGACATTTCTATCCTAAACTCTGAAGAGTAAATACATAGTTTCGACAACTTGTTAAGTTATCATGGTTATTAGTGTGTTTTACCATTTGTGATGTTTGTGTTAAAAATATATATCTTATCAATGTGCACATACTCATACCATGGATTAATAATGGTTTCATATGCTATATTAGGATACAAAATTGTAAATGTTTTATTACTATTATTATTATTATTGTTGTTCCATGAAATTTCCGTTCATATAATTTATTTAGTTTCAATTTTTTATAGTTAATTTGATTACCACTGAATGATGGCTAAGATACTAGCCGAAACGTATGGATTTTAAATAAATAAACTTTTAAAAAAACTCTCATACTATTTTTATTGATGGTACGCCCGAATATTAAACTCAAATTAAACATATATATCAACATTACATTCAAGACTACATTACTACGTATACATATATATAAGGTGGTTCATCTAGTGTTTGGAATTTGAACTACCGATTATTTGACTTCAAAAACGTCAAATAATCTCATTGATTTGACTTATATTTAGTTGAAAGTTTGACATTTTATCAAAAAATCATGTTTTCGAATGAAGCGCATTTCCACCTCCGTGGTTATATTTATAAGCAAAATTGTCGCATCTGGGGCACGTCGTCGTAGAGAAGCCAATGCACCCACAACGAGTGACTGATGTGAATTGGCCACCAAAAAGCTGTGATTTGACGTCATTGGATTATCATCTTTTGCGAGCGGTGAAAGATAAATGTTATGCCAGCAATCCAGAAACAATTCAAGATCTCAAGACCGAAATTCAAGCTGCGGGCTGAGATAATGCCCGAAACAATTCAAAATGTTCTCAAAAATTGGGTGGGTCGAATGGGCTACTGCCAAGTCAGCCGTGGTGGTCATTTGACCGAAATTATTTTTCATAAATAATTGTCATGAATTAACCTATTAAATAAATGTTCAACCATTGAAAAATATTGAGCCGTTTTCATTTCATAGCAAAATTAGATTCCAATTTTTAAATATACCACCCTTTATGTATTACCCAACGAGTAGTCTACAAAACTTCTCTAGTTATATAAATGATGTTAAAATTATTTTAAATGATTAAATAGTTTGGAGAGCAACGTACATAATATTATTCGTATATATTATTTACGCATGTTAACTATATATTAATTATTTTCTAAAACTAAAATTTTATTTAATTTTAAAATATAAAAATAAAACCCATTTATTATTTTAACAATTATATAATTTTCACATAGAAAATAACTTAATTTTTTTATCGAACGTGTGTTTTTTATATTATATACTGAGAAAAAGTTAACAATTTAGCGCTATTCTTTTCTAATTTTAAATATTTCATTTTACCACTTTTCAGGTGCCTGATAATTGGCTAGTTGAATCCGTTAAATCAATATATGATCTAGATAATATTCGTCTGCAAGATGTCGATAGTGTTGTCCACAGGTAAGTCTTAATACATTTTTTTTATTTATAAAAGCAGTTCATTATGATTAATTAAAATTTTCAGTGAATTTGAATTGGAATATTTGCTGCTGGAAGGACATTGTTTTGATAGTGGGGGATCTCCCCCAAGAGGTTTGCAAATTACTCTTGGAACAAGTGACGAACCACTTTTGATGGATACTATTGTCATGGCTAATTTGGGTTATTTTCAATTAAAAGCAAATCCGGGTGCTTGGTTGATAAATTTACGTGCGGGACGTTCTAAAGATATGTATGACATGATAAGGTAAGTGAGATATAAAATCAATTGAGAGAACTTTCTCATTGACAATACTGGCTACGGAATATACCACTGATACCAGACCAAAAAAAACTCATATTATTTTAAATTTATATTTACATGACAGCTACATGGTCATTATAAATTTAATTACATAGTTCGTAATCTTTCGTTCGTTATCTCTCTTTTTGTTTCTCATTTCTCTTTTGTGCGGTAAAGTGAGTGGCTACGGGATGTGAGAAACAAAGGGGGAATGAAGACAGAAACACCGTAAAGAATCATTTTTCATGAAATTTATAATAACTTTATAACTGCTATGTGAAAGATGAAAAGAATTCCGCTTGTTGACACAAGAAGTCTTAAGGGATATAAGTAACGGCTCAACTATACTTCTAAGGTCACAATTTTTCTCAATATATAAGATGGTAGGTTTGGACAAGTTAAAGGTATGGTTCAGGTTAATCATAATTGGTTAATCATAATCAGGTTAATAAAAATCATCATTGATTACTCTGAACCATATATATATATATATATATATATATATATATATATATATATATATATATATATATATTGATTGTTTCTTTTCCGAACAGTAAATCCAATAATAAAAAACAATTTGTTTTTTGACGATGTTTAATACGACGTTTCGGAACTAGGTACGTTCCATCATCAGGTTTATTTCTGTCAAATACAATGTTTTTTAAAAATATTGATTAACATTAATTAACGATGGTCAATACAGATTAATTAGAAAAAATTTTTTATAAAGGAATGGATTATGTACCGGGGTAAAGAGTAATAAGAATTAACTAAAAAAGGTTTTATATAAAATTGAGAAGCAAAAATTATTTACCTGTAATAATTTATATATCCATATCACTAATATTTTTTTGTTAAAAACACTCGATTTTTTTTTGGAAGATATTTGTAGATGTTACGACTACACAAGACTTAAACACACTGATATGGATTTCTGTCTGCCAGATGTAAAGGACAATGTACGGAATTCCTGGCAAAAATAATTTTTTATGGCTCTTGTATTGGTAATTTACGAAAAAAGAGGAAATATTGCTTTAGTAAATGTTGAGAAATATTATGTATATATATATATACATGCACATGTATATGCACACCTACATACTCATACATACATATGCACATATCTATATATTAATGTATCCACAATTATATACATGAACATATATGCAAGTGCATGTATATAGTGTACACACAAAAACATACATATAAGCACATATATGGATGTACATATATTATAACATATATACATGTATATATATATATATATACACATTCAAAAACTATTAGGATTAATTGTTTTTAATGAGGTTTAAAAAATTTAGATATGAGTCATGAATGATATTGTGATCTGATCTTTTATTAACACTATTTGACGAATTCAAAAAGATTAAACTGCTTTCAGAAAAAAGTCTTTTAAAAGTACAATCCTCTCTATATGAAATATTGGGTTCAAAGGTGAATTTATGTGAGTTTTCGATGGAATGCTGGACAAGAGTACTTTGGAAATTTCGGCTTTTATGATGAGTGACGCTTAATTCATGTTGTCTCATTCTCTTATGAATGTATTGTGATGTTTGACCAATGTATTGTTTTTGACAATTTTTGCAAGGGATGGAATAAACTATGTTAGTATTGAATTTAGGAGGGGTAGTGAATTTAATTTTTGAAAACATTTCTTTAAAAGAATATAGAGCTGTTCCTGAAATGAAAATATTTTCTTCTTTGAGTAATTTGGCAAAATAATCAAATAAGCCTTCAAGTAAGGCATGCTGTGAAAAGTTGGTTTAATATTGTTGTCTTGGAATAACTTGGAGATGGATTGATAATTGTTACTTTTATGATAGGAAAGTCTTTTATTGGTAATGGAATTGATGAGGGTGAGGGGATATCCGTTTTCTAATAAAGTTTTAGTTACTAATGTTGTGTTTTGGGTATGAAAAGAAGAGTGAGACAACATGATTGCGTGGTCCATCAAAGAAATGATTGTATAGACTTTATAATTTTTGGGACAATATGACGCGTAATGAAGGTATCTTCCTGACCATGTAGATTTTCTGTACCAATTTGTGCAAATAGTGTTGTCAATTTTGTGTAAGCGTCACTCATCATAAAAGCCGAAATTTCCAAAGTACTCTTGTCCAGCATTTCATCGAAAACTCACATAAATTCACCTTTGAACCCAATATTTTATACAGAGAGGATTGTACTTTTAAAAGACTTTTTTCTGAAAGCAGTTTAATCTTTTTGAATTCGTCAAATAGTGTTAATAAAAGATCAGATCACAATATCATTCATGACTCATATCTAAATTTTTTAAACCTTATTAAAAACAATTAATCCTAATAATTTTTGAATGTGTATATATATATATATATACATGTATATATGTTATAATATATGTACATCCATATATGTGCTTATATGTATGTTTTTGTGTGTACACTATATACATGCACTTGCATATATGTTCATGTATATAATTGTGGATACATTATTATATAGATATGTGCATATGTATGTATGAGTATGTAGGTGTGCATATACATGTGCATGTATATATATACATAATATTTCTCAACATTTAATAAAGCAATATTTCCTCTTTTTTCGTAAATTACCAATACAAGAGCCATAAAAAATCATTTTTGCCAGGAATTCCGTACATTGTCCTTTACATCTGGCAGACAGAAATCCATATCAGTGTGTTTAAGTCTTGTGTAGTCGTAACATCTACAAATATCTTCAAAAAAAAAAAAAAAATCGAGTGTTTTTAACAAAAAAATATTAGTGATATGGATATATAAATTATTACAGGTAAATAATTTTTGCTTCTCAATTTTATATAAAACCTTTTTTAGTTAATTCTTATTACTCTTTACCCCGGTACATAATCCATTCCTTTATAAAAAATTTTTTCTAATTAATCTGTATTGACCATCGTTAATTAATGTTAATCAATATTTTTAAAAAAACATTGTATTTGACAGAATAAACCTGATGATGGAACGTACCTAGTTCCGAAACGTCGTATTAAACATCTTCAAAAAACAAATTGTTTTTTATTATTGGATTTACTGTTCGGAAAAGAAACAATCAATATATTGAAAAAATCCAGGACTTATCTATTGAATATATATATATATATATATATATATATATATATATATATATATATTATTAATCTATAGTTTGTAAGACTATTGTTTGCGGTCTTTTCTATATGTAGTTCTGATGCTTGCATGAGAAATACCATGTATTACATCAAATGCAGAGTTGCGGAGTTTCTGTGGAAGATAAGATTTAATAAAATCAGATTCGATATTACAATATATTGGAAAACCATCCAATGTCAATTTGTGGAGTTTTTAAAATGTTTCTCCCTCTAATATTGCTTTCAATCCCAAGTCCAAACTTTGCTCAATACTTTTTTCTTTAGCTGAAAGTTTAATTGGCATTTCTATTGTTTTTATCCTTGAGAGGGTGTCTGCTACAATGTTTTCATCACCTTTGACATATACAATTTCAGTGGAAAACTGGGAAATATGACAAGTGAGTGTTCTTGAAGTCGCTCAAATACTATTTCCAGGTGACGATGATGCTCTTCCATGCTCTCAGACATAACCAGGATGTCATCCACGTATAAGCACACAAAGTCAATATCTTGAAAAATGTAATTTATGTTTAGCTGGAAAATTTGAGTAGCATACTTCAATCCAAACGGCATGCAGAGATACTCAAATAGTCCCCATGGGGTTATAATGGCTGTCTTCTGAATATCCTCTTTATGCATCGGAACTTGATGATAAGCTTTGGCGAGGTCTAATGTAGAGAATACTTTTTTCTTGTGTAATGCTCGAAAAACATACTGGATACTTATTAGGTAATGGGCTCGCATTCAGTTTCCTGTACTCACCGCAAAGTCTATATGTTCCATTCTTCTTCGGCACCATATGAATAGGGCTTGCCCACGGACTGCTTGATGGTTTTAAAATGCCCCTGTTTAGGAGATTTTGAATTTCGGCTTTTGCTGCTATAGATTTTTCACCGAAAAATCTTCCTGAACCTGGCAGCAACTGGTAGACCTGTTGCAGAGATTCTGTGTGAAAAGGGAGACTGTTTAATAGTTAATTTGTGTGGTTTATTAGTGAGGGATACATATTTTGTTAGTAGATTCTTGAACGGTTGCTGAGGATGAGATGTTGATATTATCAACTTTCAGAACTTTTCCATCAGAGGTTAAGCCTGTAGTGAAATCAATCATTCTTCCTTCGAGATCATTACTAAAGTCTTCTTTCCATAAGAAGGTATGCGACTGGAGTCGGCTGCATATAGGACAAGATCTTCCTTGGCACCTCCGATTGCAAACTTTATAGCTGTGAGAATCGAAAGAACAGATCCAGAGTCAATAAGGAATCGTATTCGGTATTTTCTGTCTGTTATACCTAATCGGAGCTCTGAACAGACAGTATTTGTATCACCATCATTGCATGCAGCTCCTAATGTTGATGGTGATGCTAATTTTCCGTATTGAGCAGTGATTAAGGAAGGCAAGGTTCTATGCACTCATTAGCCTTCTCTCTATCCAAATCTGTTGTGGTATTAACATACATGTGATTTGGTAGATGTTTTTGACCTACCTTGCCTGTTTCTTGAGTGGTTACTGGATCTCTTGCTCTCGCTGTTGTTTCTTCGACTCTGTTTTAAACTTTCGATCTCTGATGTGAGATCATTTATTTTTCGACTTGATGCAATCCGAAGTTTTTTCGTATGATCTGTTTTGTAATCTGGAGCCACTCTTGAAGGTGTAGATATTGCAAACGTTATCGTATTTTTATAGTGTATTTTAAACTATGAGGACGCCATAAATCCATACGTTTCAGTCTTCATCGAGACCGTCATTCAGTGGAAAAAGACAAAAACAATTAAATACTAAACTACACTAATTGACACAATAAGGTTGT